ACAAGTCACAGTCCAGCGCCACACGAAAGTAGCACAGCAGCAGGTGGCGCACGAGGCTAGGGCCCACACCCTGGGCCCGTGCACGGCCAGCTAGTCCCGCGGCAGCACCACAAGGCACGCCAGCATGGAGATACAGACGTAGGTGCAACTATCACGACTACTCAAGAGGCAACATTTCATCCGATTGCAGGCTGCTTTGTGCTGCTGAAAAATCCACTAACCATGACCCTCAAGAGTTTAGGCTGTGGACTTAGCTTTTTTTTTGTTGTTCATGGTAGTCAGTGAGTTTTATTATATTCTGGAAATATAATTCCAGTTACTAGCATATCATTGATAGGAATTGCCACTTCAGTTACAAATCTCCAGTTTGTTCCTCCTAATGGAGCTTTGTTTTTCTCTTCTCTTTAGAAGTTTCTACTAAATGTACCGTTTCTGGGTACACGGGTTATGGAACTGTATGATAAAATGATAATAATAGTAATAAGTAAAAGATTAAAAAATTAAAAATTAAAAAAGCACTTCTAACCAGTGATTATAAATTACAGGCTCTTAATTGCTGTGGACATTGGGAAAAGCCCCTGAGACTTGCAGCTGGACCGGAGAGCACCCTGGACATGCTCTTAGAAGTGGCCACATGGTCTTAATCACAGATAAGGAGGGGGTCCCGTAGCAGAGCAGGGGTATAAGAAGAGGTACGTTCTCCTGGTCTAGCAAGACCCCTGGGGGCTTCAAGTGCCTTCCCTGCAAAAGCAGTGGACACTTCAGCCATAATTGTCACAAAGGACACCCAGGACCATGTTCCAGCTGCCTAAGGGATCACTGGAAATTTGCCCTCAAAGGCTCAGAACTCTGGGGTCAGCCATATCCTAGTAGATATTCCACATGGAACTGAAGCAGCCAGAATCCTCCATGGGGTCCAGTGACACATCTGATCAGCACTCAGGAGCCCCAGGCGGTTCTCCTAGAGAAAGGGAAGCCTACAAAATCCCTTCTGGACAGAGGAGAGCAACTTTCTCCATGCTTAGCTCTAGCTGTGGTCCCTTTTCCTCCATTAGAGTGAGCTTAATGGTCTCTCAGGCGTTCAAAAGATAAAGACCACTGTACTTACATGTTTCCCTCTGACAGTAACTAATCCAAATGTTTGAAGCATCCAGGAATAGGGGCTGGTCTATAACTGCTCAGCTTGTGCCGCTGACCAGGCTCTCTATAGGCCTGTGTTTGCTAGTCCCCCTTTTAAGTTTTCTGCTGGATTTTACAGGAGTAGAACACCCTAACTGTACTGATGCAGAGTTCATGCCTTCCTCCCATGCTAAATCATCTGGGATTTCTCTGCTGACCTGCATACGATTTCTACTCTCCAACTGTAACTATATGGCTTGCTAAAACTATGGTGCTCTTTGAGTACTTGCCACTGCTGTAAAGTGTGTGAAGTACTTTGTCAACTCTTGTTCGAATGCTGTAAACTGCAAGTTTATGCACTTGTGAGATTTATCATTTAGTCTCAGTTTTCCCCCTGTGTCTACGGGGCTGAGTGTGTGCATTGTTCCTTGTAAACAGGCTCTGTCATCTCCTGGGGACATAGGTGGTCATTTGATGTCACCTGGGAGACCTCAAAGTGGACAAGATTTTGAGGGTACAAGCCTGGCCTCAAGTATTGTTCAACCTTTCTTGTTTTCCATCTTCAGAAGAGGTGCTCAGGGTCCTCTGTTGGATCCGATTAGCTGCCTACTTTGGTCATCTGTGTGCAGCTGGGTGTGATCTCCATTACCACACAAGAATCAGTAGCTGAGCTGGTCCAGTCCCGCAATGAAATGCCATAGTTTTCTATAGGTGCAAATCAGTGATCATCTTTATTTTAAAATATTCAGAGTAGAGAAATATGTTCCTTGCTGTGAAACATTTTTGTAGAATCTCTTGGTACACAATCATACAAAAAAAAGATGTGTTCTTAAACTTAATACTTAGTAAGTCAAGATGGTGGAATAGGGTAAGGACACGTTTAAATGGGTAGAGAAACATTTACTCAGGATGAAGCGGAGAGGACACATTCCAGAAAATAGGAGAAGGCAGAACAATAGCAGAGGGCTACCTGGAGACTGACAGATACAGAAAAGCAGCAAAACAATAGTGCAGTGTTGCAGTGACTGATACTCCAGTGGCATTCAGCTAACAACTAGCTGAACTCCACCAGCAGCCAGAACTCCACCAGTAACCAGGTGGGAAGGGGCTTTCACTGGGAGCCTGGGAGGTGAACCCAGACAAAGAATTGTCTGTGCTGCCAGTCTGTTTGATTTGACCAGGAGCAGAGACAGAGCAGCAGATCCCAGACAGGCAGTATAAGAACAGGGTGGATTACACAGCCCAGTCATCCTCCTAGAGCCGTTTTGGGTGTCATTTTGCCTAACGAGGCAAAGGCAAGGAAAAGGACTGAGCATAAACTGAGCCGGAAGTGAACTCATTTCTAACTCAGTGAACTGCATCAATGTGGCATTCTACAGGTTCCACCCAAGTCAGGTCCAGATAGCCCTCAGAACTGACAGCCAACGGATCCAAAACTCTAGTAGGGACACATTAGTCACCATTTTGTACACTGTGGCAAAAGTTTAGGACTACAGGGGACAACCATGAACTGTGCATGTGCTGAGCTCGTGAGAACTCACTGAATTCAGTGGATTGCACTGGTACCACAGGAAAACAATACTGACTGTGGCATCGTACAGGTCAAAATAGACCTGTTGGTGACACAACTTTGAAATCTGCCCCAAGGAGAAGAATCTGATAACTAGAAATACAATGAGCAAGAGCAAAAGAAGAGACAAAGGCAAAATGAATATTACTGAAGACTTCCCTGCAAAGGAGCAAAACCTTATGCCAACTGCAGAGTTCACTGAGGAAGACATCGAGAAAATGTGGGAAACAGGATTCAGAAAAGTAATTTTAAAGCTTCTGATCAAGAATGAGAAACACATACAAGAGTTCAAAGAATTTAAGGAATATGTTACACAAGCAACAGTAGCAATAAAGCAAATCAAGATTGATATACCAGAAATTAAAAACACAGTAGAACAAATTATAGGTACAGTGGAGAGTCTTCAAAATAGAATTAAACAAGCAGAAACAAGAATCTCAGGATTGGAATATATTTCCTGTCACCAGAGGGAAGCAAACAAAAAGCTGGAAGCTGAGCTGGATCAGGCCAAAAAAGGATTCAATAATTGAAAGACACTATTAAGAGGCCTAATATAAGAGTTATGGGAATCCCAGAAGGTGCAAAAAGAGAAACTGATTTTATAGATATATTTAATGAAATAATAAGGAAAATTTTCCCTAATCTAGAGAAAGAATTTGGAATCAACATCCAGACGGGGCACAGAACTCCCAACAGGCCTGATGAAAAATGGTCTTCACCAAGACACATGATCATCAAACTCTCTTCAATTGAACATAAGGAAAAGATTCTTAAATGTGCAAGTGAAAAAAATTCAGTTGACATACAAAGGAATGGAGTGACATATTCCAGATTCTAAAAGAAAAAAAAAAAAAGTCAGCCTAAGAAACCATATCTAGCAAAGCTTTATTTTGTCTTTGAAAATGAAATAAAATTTGGGGCCCAGCGGCGTGGCCTAGTGGCTAAAGTCCTCGCCTTGAACTCGCCAGGATCCCATATGGGCACCGGTTCTAATCCCAGCAGCTCCACTTCCCATCCAGCTCCCTGCTTGTGGCCTGGGAAAGCAGTCAAGGACGGCCCAAAACTTTGGGACCCTGCACCCATGTGGGATACCTGGAGGAGGTTCCTGGATCCTGGCTTCGGATTGGCATAGCATCGGCTGTTGCGCTCACGTGGGGAGTGAATCATCGGAGGAAGATATTCTGTCTCTCCTCCTCTCTGTATATCTGCCTTTCCAATAAAACATAAATAAATCTTTTTTAAACAGAAAATGAAATAAAATTCTTCCACAGTAAGAAATCTTAAAAGAATTTGCCTCTTCCAAACCTGCCCTACAAATGATACTTCAAGATGTTCTCTTGACAGGGAAGAAGAATAGCATCCACCGAAACCAAAAGCAAATGTGCAGAACATCCCAGTAAAATCATGATAGAAGACTAAATTGCTGAACAATACATTGCTAAAATGACAAAACCAAATTACCACCATTCATACTTACCCTGAAAGAAATTGCCTTAAGCTCAAACATCATAGATGAGTAGACTGGATTAAAAAACAAAACCCATCTATTTGTTGTTTAGAAGAGACACATTTCACCAACAAAAAGCAGCAGAAGGCATATCTCATGGATTTTGACGGTTTTATTTTTGTTAGTTTCATCTCTTCAAAACAGTTTCTTCTGATTAAGTTATGCAATGACTCATAGATCATACAGTAGCATCATTTTCTGCAAGAAGGTTCTTGATTTTCATTTCTTCAGCGACACATTAGTCATTCAGTAGCATGTTACTTAACTTCATGGTGCTGTTAATTTCTTTTTTCTTCCAGTTGTTGATTTTGCTTTGTGGCTTTTCATTTAAGGGGAGTACAATAGCTGTGTAATGTGGACTGTCGTATCTAGTAACATGTTATTTAATTTCATGGCATTGTAAAGTTCTATTTTTCCTCCTATTGTTGATTTTGTATTGTGACTTTTCATTTAAGGGAATGTACAGTAGCTGTGAAATGGAAACTAACATATGCAGATGTGAGATTACAATGCAGTACGCATCTCTACTTCCAGACAAAGATGGACTCCCAATGAAACTGTTTACTCTATCTTGACAATAGGATGCTGGACTCTCTGCCATTATCCATGCCCGCAATGATGGACATATAACTGTGAATGAAGAACTGTATTTTAGCAATGATAAAGGGGAACCATGTCCGGGGTCTTGGGGAGGGGTTAATGGAAATCCCAGAAACCTATGAAACTGTATCATAAAATAATAATAATGATAATAGTAATATTAAAAATAATAAAAACAAAAAAATTAGTTTTAAACTGTTTTATTCATACACCAGTTTTTTTCCCAAATATTTTTTTCATGGCCTCTTTCACATCTTTGTTCCTCAAGCTGTATATGATAGGATTCAGCATGGGTATTAAAACAGTATAAAACACTGACACTATCATGTCATACTGCAAAACATAGCTAGATCTTGGTCGTACATACATGAAGAGAATTGTTCCATAATAGATAAAGACAGCAGCTAGGTGAGAACCACATGTAGAGAAGACCTTTTGTCTTCCTTCAGGTGAATTCATCCTCAGGATTGCGCACAGAATGAAACCATAAGAGACCAGGACAATCAGGATAGTGACAGCTTCAATGGAACTCACAAACAAGAAAAGGAGAAGCTGGTTTACATGGGTATCTGAGCAGGAAATAGCAAGAAGGGGAGGAATATCACAAAAAATTTGTCTGATTTCATTAGATGCACAGAAGGACAGGCGAAAAGTGGCCACTGTTTGTATAATGGCATGGAGAATTCCGCCCACATAAGAGGCAATGATGAGAGGCACATAGACCCTAGGTGACATGCTCACCGAGTACAGCAGTGGGTTGTAGATGGCTGCATAGCGATCGTAGGCCATGGCAGCCAGGAGGAAGCATTCTGTGGTTCCAAAAGTAACAGCCAAAAAGCACTGTGTTGCACATCCAAAGAATGATATGACTTTGTTTTTGGAAATAAAATCGACTAACATGTTTGGAGTTATAACTGAGGAGTAGCAGGCATCCACAGAAGACAATGCACACAGGAAGTAGTACATGGGGTTGTGAAGCTTGGGATCCCCAATCACTAGAGCAATTAGTCCTAAGTTTCCAGTGAGTGTAAAGAGATAGATGACCAGGAATAGGAAGAAGAGCACGGTCTTAAGCTCAAGGTTGTCTGTGAAGCCCTTCAGCACAAATGTGGTGACTTCGGTGATGTTCTTCATTCTGAACCTTCACTCAACCAAACTGTAGTTATTAATGCAAACTAAAAATGAAATAATACGATGACTCAGGAAAACATTCACTACATGTTCTTACTCATTTTATTCTGGCAAGGCATGATGTCAAACAATGGAGCAGACGATGATGTAAGAAGGGTATCAAGGCTTAATGTCAGTCCCTAAAGAATTCAGTGATGTCAGGTGTGTGTATTCACTTACCAAACTTGCTGTTTTTAAAACAATCACATTAGTTGGTTAATTTGTCATTGAATTCAATGATCTGTTTTCACTTTAAATGTATTAAAGCATCAAGTGAATGGTTAAATTCTACTTTCTGATATAAGAATATGTGACATAGTCTAGCCGTATAGAAACCAGAGTAGAGTAAAATTGAAAAATCCTAGAGCTTCCAGTAAATGTGGGAAATGAGATTCCATCATTTATTCTTCAATGCAATGACAACATTGAATTTACAACAATTCATGTACAAAATATTGTAACAAAAGTGATTGTTTAGAATAATTTTACATAGAGGACATTCTAATTTAGCTGGTTTTTATAGAGTGATATGCTCCTGTATTGAACACATTATGAGCTAAGTTTGAAAATGTCCATCTCCTATTCTTATTACTGAGATTATTTTAGTAGAACTATTTGAGATTTGAAAAAAAAGTTGAATCACACTGAACTATGTGACAGTATGTTTCATTAATTATTGTTTTATTAAGTTTGAGATGGCAAGGTATGTTTCTGGCTAGCTAGGTGGTCATTTTCAAACTTTTAAAGATTTATATTTCTGGCCCTGGCATAATAGCCTAGTGGCTAAATTCTAGCTTTAAATTTGCCAGCGTAACTTATGAGTCCTGGTCCATATTCAAGCTGACCCTAAACTTCCCATGCAATTCTCTGCTTGTGGCATTGGGAAACTGCAGAGGATGGCCCAAAGCCTTGGAACCCTGTACTTGGGAGATCCGTGAGAGGTTCCTGGCTCCTGGCTTCTGATCAGCCTAGTTCCAGCCATTGTGGTCACTTCAGGAGTGAACCAGCAGACAGAAGACAGAGGATAAACTTTTCTGTATTTTATTCTTTCTGTGAAATTTGTCTTCAAATAAAAAATAGATAAGATAAAAAAATGCAAATTTCTGATTATCATTATATCTTGTAACCTATTAATTACTGGATGAAAATTAGTAGTTTCATTCTGAAGAATATAAAATTACCTGATTTTTCATTATAGATATTATATTTTTCAGTTATTATTGATTGTGAATTTGGCTAAATACTATCTTAGTAAGTATTAATGGAGTTCACTGAAAACCAAAATAAAGGACAGTTACTAAACTTATACCAAAACAAATAACTTTAAATAACATACAGTTATTAAAATTATACCAAAACAAATAACTTTGAATAATATGTATGTAGTAAAATATGAAAGCAAGAAGGTAGGAAAAATGCCAGAAGGAATAAAAATAATCTTTTCTTGTTAATCTCATAAATATTAGGTGTCAAATAATTTTCTATTTGCTTCAACGTCATTGCTTTAGTCCAGAATACATCATTAAAAAACTGCTTTTACTGCATTTCTGTATTAATTAAATGTCTATACTGTGCATACCCAAATCACAGGAAACTCTGAGGCCATACTGTCTGCTGCAAATGATAAATATAAGTTAATGAATTGATCAATGTCAAATTATATTTTGAATAAATGAACTTTAGTTCCATTCATAAGAATCAACCACTTAAATAATGAGAGCTGTACAAAATGAAATCCACACATCCATATTTTGTGAGGACTGGAAAATATGGATCTTCTGAAAGAATTGCCAATATCACGAGAAAATATTTTCATAGGACTAAGGGAAACATGCAACGCAGACAAGCAACAGCTGAAATGAATTGCCTGCTGTTTTTCCCTCTCTTCCTTGAGACGATTTTTTCTTCCTTCTGCCATCCTTCCCTCCATTCTTCCTTCCCTTCTTTCTTCGCTTTCTCTTTCTTTCCTTGGTTCTTTGTGATACATTTGTTATTTCATTTATTTTATTACATTTTAATTTTAATTTTGCTGAAAACTTATTTTTTAACCACGGATTGCATGCATCCATTAATCCCTAGTGGGCTTATTGTTTGAACAAAGAATAAGGTCAAAAGATCTTTCCCCAAATCCAGATAGATGATTTTAAATAAATCTTCACCAACACAAATTCAGAGCATTTCTTGATAAAAAGTATTTCTACTACTAGCTTTTATGTTTTCTTTTTCTGTATGTAACTCATTCTCCTGTTATCCTGTTAGTCTCTCTGTAGATAGGCAAATACATATAGATACATACATATATTTCTACCACATATATGATAACTATATGTAGGATTGATAAGGGAATACAATTTGATTGCAATGACTTATGAGATTCAAGATTTAAAATTGTGTTTTATTACATGAGAAAATAGTCACAAGTAAATTGGAGGTGGAAACACTTTCATACATTGATAAATGACTTGATTACTAATGAATAGTCTTATTTTACACATGAAAATTGATAAGGTTTATATGCTTCATAAATTCACATAAATAGGACTACATATTTCTTAATTTGATAATGAACTGAGAGCATAAAATAATACAAAGTTCTTTTTACACTCTAAAAATAATAAAAATGTGTTTCTGTGGATATCTAGTCCTGATTCAGAATATAAAACTAAATAAACATTCTCAGCTGCTGATGAGAAGTTTAAAGTTACAGCCACTTTGGGAAGCAACTTTGAATGTCCATTTTGCATATTTAAGAGAAGTTGAACTACTTATAAGTGGAATTAATATAGATGACCACAAAGCACATATTTTTGTAAAGTAAATATCAAAGAGTTTCAATGAGATAAAAATGAGTGGTTGCTATAATAGGACACCTGTGAATGAACAACTTAGGAAGAATAGACATACATCTTGATTCTGTGTTAGGGAGTAGTAAGGGTAAGGGTGAGGAGTTACATATGATGAGCAGTTTCTGAATGCACAGCAACACCATGGAAGGCATCGGATCATGAGGAGTTCAAGTATGTGGCTCAGTTGTAAAGCTGCTAATTCCATAACTGGGACCTCACATTTATAACCTTATAACTCTAATTCAATATAAAGGTCTACACTTTGAAATACCACCAACATATGAAATTGGAGATTACATTCTCAAAATTTGCAATTTTTAGTAATATAATCCAACATAGCAATACACAATTTTTTGAAGTTTTATGTTCAGCACCTACTTTCCTGTTTAAAAATGGGGTATGATAAGTTTTCTTTTCAATGCTTGTAACTTGTTAAAATAAGAATGCATTTGAGGGCCCGGCGCGGTGGCGCAAGTGGTGAAAGGTCCTCGCCTCGCACGCCCGGGATCCCATATGGGCGCCGGTTCTAATCCCGGCAGCCCCGCTTCCCTTCCAGCTCCCTGCCTGTGGCCTGGGAAAGCAGTCAAGGACAGCCCAAAGCTTTGGGAACCTGCACCCGCGTGGGAGACCTGGAAGAGGCTCCTGGCTTCGGATCGGCAGAGTATCGGCCCGTTGTGCTCACTTGGGGAGTGAATCATCGGACGGAAGATCTTCCTCTCTGTCTCTCCTCTCTGTATATCCGCCTTTCCAATGAAAAAATAATAAAAATAAATCTTTAAAAAAAAAAAAGAATGCATTTGAATGACCAAGCAGTGTTACCATGTATAGATAAGTAGGTTAATAAATTATGTAAAAATAAAAATATAAATATGTTTTCCTAAATGTGTCTCCTCTTGCTATGAAGATGATCATACATTGAACTTTTCTGTCCTATGTTTCTATATGTTTTTAAATTGACAAATATTGGGTCTAAAAGCAAATTTGCTACTAAATCATTGAAAAAGTAGGCATGATCCTAACCTTGAGTCTATTGGTGCATGTTTTGATGCATATATTTACATTTGTGCTTATTAATACACACCCAACTATTAAATCAATTCAATTTGATCATTAAATCTTTCTTGATTCTTTATGAGTCTACATAATCCATTAAAAAACTAAAACTATTATAGATTGTGGTATATCCTATTATCCAGAATGAATACTTTTATTTTCACAATTGCTCTTGCCACATTTCTGTAGGTATGATTTTGCTTTATGTAAATTAAATAAAATAATAGTATTATAATTTTAAATATATTTTATTTGAAATAAATTTCAGCTTGATGCCAAGAAAGTTGTTATGGTGGACCTGACCAACTCAATATTGGTATATATTCAGGAAAGGGAAAAAAGATGATAATTCTTGAGAGGTATAAATTATAGAATCAACCCCTAATCTCTCAGGTAACGTCAACTTCCAGTACAATTATAATGGCAGATTGAAAACTTCAGCTAGCTTACGCTTTATAGTCAATACTAAATTTGCAAAGGAAGGAAGAATAACAGCCATCTATCGGGCACATGCTACAAGAATTCAGTGCACAGCATATCACAAAATGAATGACCCTTTTATTCATTATTCAATCCTTCAATTCTGTGTGAATTAACATCAAGTGTGGATCTTCATGAATAATAGCTTTTTGAACACCAAAGTCTGAGAATTCTTAGGCGTAAATAGGATAGGTCGAGGATCCTGTACTAATAGCTAGCAAAATAAATGCTGTTGTTTTCCCAATATAGCAACATATAATATGTGGTAGTTGAATAAATCCGAAGTGTACTTACTCTCTACTGACAAAGATTTGACTGTTCTGCTTTGCAGTAATGATCTTCTTTAAGCAAAATGAAAGCACCCTCTTTAAATAGTTTTCTTACTTAAATCCACAAAGCAAATTTAATATTTTGTATTTTCTCTGGGTTTGAGAAAGTGTGTATTTAAAATTCTGATATAGAATCTTATCATAAATTAAATTTTAATGAACAAGTATAGTCTTTTTGTTTTAACTTTTTAAGCTTCCTAAATGATTCTCAAAATATCAAAATTTATCTTACCTGTGGAAGATCAAGTACAGTTTT